AGGTCTTGAAAAAGAATGCACTGGGAAGGGAAGTAATATTAATAATGCAGAGTGCTAAAAGTTGATGAAAATTACATATAAAAATAAGCAGCTTTTAAAATGAGTGTGCCGCAAATGCACACAGGAAAAAGTGCTGTACACCATATAAAATGGCAGAGCATTTCTAAATTAGGAATTAAATTTCTGGTGCACAGTGACAAACCATTACTGTCAGTTTCATGCTTTTATGCAATCATCAGGTGATCTGGCCAAAATCATATAAAGCCATAAACGCAGAATTGTACCCTCCTCACACACACAAAAAAAACCCAGAGACAGTTTGCTGGTGCAGCAAAAAGCGTTCAATGTCCACATGAAACAATATATATTTATTGGACATAAGAAAAATAGGAAAGGAGGTATACTTGATTCTGTTATAAATTTAAAATGGTTGAAAGACCTCCCCTCTTTAATATCATTCTACTTGTTTCTTCTGGAAGCACGAACAAGAAGAATTGTTCTTTTCTATATAGGCTAACTGTATATATTGAATTTAGCTTTTTTCTTTTTTAATATTTGTAATTCTTTAATTTGTAATTTTTATTTTTTTAAGTAACAAACAAAATTTAGTTTTTGCTTTAAATTGGTTTAACCTTTCAGTGACCATTATTCAACTAGTGGAACATATTTTAATATATATATATATATATATATATATATATATATATATATCGTGATTCTCCCATCATAGATCAATGCAAGCCCATGCCTACCAAGGATTCTAAGCATGGCTAGGCGGCGGAAGGAAGCGAGAACTCCCCACTCGACTGCCTTCACTGTGATACCTCACCCTAAAATGTATGAGGTTCAGTCCACTCAGTTCCTAGGAACTGACAACCTGCACATATGATTTGATTATAATGGTGAAGGTTTTGTGCAGAACCAACCATGCTTTTTTGAAGACCTGGATACAGAGACCCGTGCATCATGGGCCACAATATATATATATATATATATATATATATATATATATATAATATGGTCACGTACAAGTGATTAGAATGTTCACATTCTGACCATGAGACCCGGTTCAAATCTCACCCTGGTCGATTTGTCAGGAAGGAGACTTCCTCCAGGATGTTGATCCCAGCGTGCGACACCTTTGAAAAGTTCCTGAAAATTATACCACAGGTTGAGGTGCTAGCACAATGTCACAATTGGCTGAGGGCTTGAGCAGACTGGCCTTGTTCAAATTGTTGATCGATAGATAGCACACTCTTTCCCAGAAAACTGAAACTAAAGTCTCCTCAGCATAGTTGCAGTATAAACCACAAGTGAGCTCTGTGGGTGTTGAATAAACAAAACACAAAATGTGCCTGAGCGAGGCGTCTGCAATAGGGATTGGCTATCCACCCTAGTAGATGGGTATCCTCAAATACGATTGGCCAGCTATATAATATATATATATATATATATATATATATATATATATATATATATAATCCCAGATAATGTATTTTATCATGTGTCAACACACATTGGATTTTAGTCTTTTCCTTGTATATTGATAAAATAATCATAATTACTTCTTGTCTAGTATCAAAACATGTCTTGAAATATGTTCCACAAGTAGAACTAGAGTATTTAAAAGGATAAGCATCAATATTACTTTTTAAAAAAAGTGACTAATTCAAATAATTACTTAATTAAAAAAAAATACGAAAATAATAAGCAACAAAGAAACCTTTAAGCCTGTATTTCCAAGATAATTTCACTGCATGATCAGTGGCCTAATGAACAGATCATTAGGATTTCTATTGGTGTTGTTATTGCTAAATCTCATGAAGGTGTTGATTCCAGATGGGCCACATTATCCCTACAGCACTCACAGTCTTGGCAGAACATTGGAACATTCAAATTGATCTGCTGGAGATCCTAGTGGATGATGTTCTTCCAACAGCTGTGAGGTCTGCCAGATTGCAGATGGCAGGTTGAACTGGCAGATGACTGGTAGGGTGGTCATCGACCAGGCCATTGAACATTGCACTCAAGGATGGTTTTGAGGATCTTTGGCTAGCCAATCCTCTGGCAGAACTCACAGGACATAAGATTGAACCAGTGCACCACTTTGATGTTTCTGAAGGTATGGAATTTGAATTCATGGATATGGGAGGTGAAGGTCTTGCTGAGAGGCCACATCTTGGCACCATATAGTAGCACAGGGACGATGGTGTATCGGGAAATGTTGCGATGTCACTATAGTGCTCTCCAGAGGTCACTCATGACACCTACACCCAGCTCACATCTTCTATTGTTCTTTATAAGGAGATAACAGATGTTGGAAACTTCTGAGCCCAAATATACAAAAGATATGATGAACTTTGAGGTTGCTGCCCATGATGATGGGTGGTGGATTGGGACTATCCCCGACATGCGTCACCTTGGTTTTCGACTATCAGTCTTGTGTGCCATTAATTTTGAAAAAAGGAACACAAGTTACAGAATTTACTGTCTCTGAAATTTTGAAATTTTTTTCAGAATGCTTTATGGTAAAAAGAAGTTAAATCTGGACAAAATAAAATTTATGTGTAAATTAATTTTTGGTCTATTGTTCAGATTGTTATTAAAGATGGTTAAAAGAAAATGTTTAAACACTAGAAAAAGGTCTGGTTAAATGATAATGTAATGGTTGAGTTGCATATAAACTGATCTTCAGTTAAAGTTTGCTATCTAAAAATTTTACCATTACAGTTTTTTTTTTTTTTTTTTTTTTTTTTCCTTCTTTAGTGTCAAATTAATACAAAGGGATACTGAAAAGTTCTTGGTTCAACCATAATGCATTAACTACCAAACTTTTAATGTTTGGTCAGATTTTAGGAAGTGGATCAGGCTGAGAAATTTTCTGCAACTCTTGTAAATTAATTAGTTAATGATCAGTGTCATAAAAACTTAACTACTGAGCGTTTCATGTAAGTTGTCTCAAAATTATTACATTCTTTTGAATTTTTTCAAAATCTGTAAATTTCTTAAAGTAATTTCTGACTGTTGATTTCAGATTTTAAGATGGAGTTGGATTTTTTTTTAATACTGGTTATATGTGAATGTATGTGTTTTACACTTATTTTAACGTACATTTTTTAGCAATAATAAAACTTTGTACCCTTCATAGGTTGTTTAATATTTTTCTATTTATATTCTTTGTTGAGCAAATAAGAACAATTACTTATCAATGTATATTAAACTGCAAAATCTTTAAAAAGTGCATTTTAGTGATGCATATATATATATATATATATATATATATGTTCAGTTTATGATGTGCATATCTTAATCAGATTAAAAATAACTTTTTTTTTAATAGATAAATATTTGGTATGAATAATAAATTTTAAAATAATCAAATAAGAGATTACTGTTGATATTCTATTTTAAAAACATCTGTTATCACAGAGGCCCACTATCTTGAAATATTTTTCTTTTTATTATTATTATTATTATGTTGGTGTCACACATTGATGTAGTCAGTAGATATTCTATTCTTGAGGCATGGTGACAAAATGACTACCCACAATGCAAGAACTATTTAGAGAATCCTTGCAGAATGAAGGATGGTAGTCTTCTGAAGGCAAATGATCTTGGTCTCAATTCCAATTTACCTGAGAACTCTTTCAAATTTCTTGGTGTGGTTCCAAATAATAGTGCGCCATTATTACAGGAATTAATTCTATATTCATGCTCCATAGATTTTCAACACCCTAGTCAGATATTGGTATATTTTTCAATATTTTCACTTTCTTTGTAGTCCACTCTTGTGTCGTATGGAACAGTGGACTCAGTAATTTGATACTTACTACTTTCGTTTTCTTTAACAATAAAGCTAAGTTAGTATTAAAAAAGCAAAAAATACAACAACAAATAAACATCTCAAAAGTGACTTCTTAAAAATTTTAAAATAAAAATAAGGTTGTTAATCTTTCAGGAATATGTCATTTATGCATGTTTTTAAACAATTTTAATTTTTATAAATATCTTGGATAACTTTTTTATAGTATGGTTCACTGTGTACAAGGCCTGAAGACCATTCTATGTAGAGGGTTACAGCAAGAGGTAGTTTATGCAGATAGGAGAGGAAATAACGGTTAACCCTAGACTTGAACAGGTTAAGATTGTAGTAATCCAGGAAACAGCCTCTTAGGAGTCAGTTCCACAGAGTAGTGGTTTGCGGGAAGAAGACGTTCAAGTGGAACTTCTCGCTGATGGAATACACAGGGAATGTGGGTGGTTTACTACAATGTGTGTAACATGGTGCATCCTAGCTGGGAAGGTTAGAACTGGCAGTAATTAAATAAAAAGTATGTATTTTAAAAGTATATATCTAAAGAAAACTCAAAAAAAGATTCTAACTCATTTATCTTTGGACATTTAAAAATGGTTTCACATGGAGCAGGATTGGGGCATTTGGGTTTCATTGATTATTTTATAACACAGCAATTTGAGCTGTGTTAGGTACAATGGGCTAAAATGAATTCTTGGACAGTTATACGTTTTCTTGTGACACTTAAGCAATTAGTTACAAAATTTTGAAATCATGATCCTTTTTAAAATGTTTCAATATTTTAATCAAATCTAAGTATTTTTAAATGAAGAAAACAAGAAATAATTTCTTTTTCTTTTTAAATTAAAAAAAAATTTCTCAGTTTCTTTCCATTTGCTGTTTTTTTTTTTATTTACAATTATAGTTATTATTAATTTTGCTTGTGAGCACCATTACAAATTTCAAATTGATGTACTATTGTTTCAGGAAGTCCTCTTCATTAGCTGTACAATTTTTGTTAAATAAGTTTTTGTTTTATTTACTAGTGGGTCTCTGTGTTAATCTTTTTACATGTCTCAAAGTATTTGACCCTGCCCGCAATTTCCATTTCTGTGTTTGCTATGAACTCTTCCAAGTGTCCCCCTCTATATTGTACACAGACGACAGAAGTGGTCCTACTACCTTGCTACCAACAATGGAAGGTCTCATGCTGCAGATGGTCGAGGTACACAAAATTACCGCTGCAGCGACTGAGGTGACAACTGCGACCACCACCACCACAACCACCCCAACTATGGCAGCCTCTGCTACATTTGGCTCGGTGCCTGCCTCTCATTCTCGTTCCTCTTCCGCTGCCTCCTCCTCTTCTGTGTCCTCCTCCCCTACACTGTCCTCCACTTCATCTCGGTCGGCCAGCGCCCGCAAAGCCAATGTCGCAGCCTGTCCTCCCACGAATAATAATAATAATAATAATGTAACCAACGACATGAACAGTTTTCCAATGGTGACTGATGATAATGCCGCAATCGACACTGCGATCACCACCACTACTGCTGCCAATATTACTCCGGCCACTGACCACAACACGATCGTCAACATGACTCCTGCTCCAACATCGGCAACAGATGAAGATAACTTTGCAGCAGTACTTGAAGAGTCTCCATCAGCAGAGGATGCAGCGACAGCAGAGGATGCAGCAACAGTAGCGGATGCAGCAGCAACAGCGGCTTCCTTTGAAGTTGACAAAGACTTGGACACTGCTCCACCTGGCAACAGCAATGGAAGTGTGGTGACCACCCCAGAAGAGGGGAGGACCAATGCTACCTCTCCTCTCAGTAATCCAGGTGAGCTGATAGGCTGTGCATGTACACGCCTACATGTATATCCATGCACACACATATGCAGAATCCTATTTCACATACGCACTTACACCCACCTATCCACACACACCTATCACCAAAACAAACAAAACAAATTCAATTGCTGGAAGCCAAACTTGCTTTTTTTCCATTCTTTTCCTTCTCTCTCTTTTTTTTTGAGAGTTGGAGAAATAGTAATTTCAAGAATCAATTATATATATATATATATATATATATATATATATATATATATATATATATATATAGTTGAATTTTAATGTGTTGATGAATCTGCTGTTCCAGTTTTAAGATTAAAACAATGTTGCTGTTTATTGAATGTTACATAAGTTTTCATACATAATCTCTTCCTCCTCTCACATTCCTCCTCCTTATTGTCATATCATTACACCAATTTCATTACCCTTTTTTTTTTTTACCCCACCCTCTGCCTCCATTTTCTTCACCAAACTTTCCTTCTCTTGTGTTGGATTCAGTATTCACAATATCCACAACCACCATCATACTGCTTCATACTAACCCATGTTCTCTTTTGAATTTTGTTTTTTTTTAATATCTTACAAAAAAAAAAAAAACTTGGGAAATGTTGTATTGCTGAAAGTTCTTATAAATGTAACTCCTATCATTATTTTTGTGCGCATCCATCACACACATTGCCTAAAAATCACTTTCCTTCCCTTTTTGCATCTTTGGTATCTCTCATTTCAGGAGTTTAAATTATAATTTGGCTTTCAAAATATTTTTCTCATATGAAGGAAAAACACTCCTTTCCAGCTAATCTTTCTTTTAAAAAAATGTTAAATTTTTATCTTGAGGCTGGGATGAATGGTATCCCACCACCTTAAGGTATTTGTATTATTGACATTTGACTTTACTGTTTGCCTAGATTTCAGCAGTATCACAAAGAATCTTGGCTTAAATGGTATTTTGATTGTTAGTAATTTGGAAGGTTGGTTTACTGCCATTAGGAATAATTTATATTGTTGAAGTTTTTGGCAAACTTTAAAATTAACTCTTTAGGAGTTAATGTTTTTCTTTTGCTGGTTAGGAAAAATATAAACTCTGCTCCCCAAAATTAGTCTCTCAGATTTTATTTATTTATTTATTTATTTTTTTTTTAACCATTCTGGGGAAAGTCATAAAACAGAACCAGATCAGAATCTGACATTTTAAGATAAGGAACAAATAGAAAACATTTATCAATCTAACATATTTCACTTTTATTAAAGCTTCATCAGAGATTGAGAAATGGAGAAGGAAAAGAGAAAAAATTCTGGTATTTTTTATTTTTGTGTATTATCATTATTGGTTAATCAGGCTTCAAGTGCATTTGGCTTGTTGAAGCAGTGTTAGTATAATTTGTGGTGTTTTGAATTCTTCTTTCTCCATATCTCATTCCCATTTATCTGCGTTTCCTATTTGTTCTTACACACACATCTATACAGTGAAAGATCAGTTTTCGACTTTCTTCAGTTTCTAGTTTTCAAAAAAAAAAAATGCTGGTAACTTTTGCACATGTCTAATATTTGGTAAAAGTGGAAAATGATAATTTGATTCTTGGAATTTTATTTACTTGTGATTTTCCATGCAAAAGAGAATGTATGCTAGAACTACCTGCGTCCCTAAATAGTTTATACATTTGTGTCTGCATTTCATCCACCAAACGTCTCATCTATTATGGGACAGTATAACTTTTAAAATTATTTAGTATTTATTATCTGTTAGTAGATTTGTGCAGTATTATTATGAATTTTTCATGAAGATCACTTGTAATGATTCAAGAAAAATTTGAATACATCGACTGAAGATGTCTTCTGGCATTTTCTTGTTTCATTAAAATGTTTTCTCTAATGTTTCTACTTCCTTTATCCAATCCACAATTTTGTTCTCTCATGTTAACTGATTGATGGACCTTCTGTAGCTGTTGAAAGAAAGAAATTGAGCTACTTGCTGTTGTATTTTCCTCTGAAGTATTCATCTTATAAAGACAAATGTACATGTTTTGAGAAAAAGAGGTTATGGGTTTAGGATTTTCTTGTCAGAAAAGTCATTTATGGTATCTCTCTCAGCTTAAGTCAGGGGGACAGACATCCATGTTGGTATGTCAGTGGTTAATCAGAGAACTTAGCGCTTTCTTTGAGATGGGAAGTAGCAATTTTGTGATGGTGTTATGACAGGCTGTGTATATGGTGTAATAGCAGCTCATAATGAGAAACTGGGAAGTTTAAGTTCAAATTCTAGCCACACTGATGCATTCATTTTCATGCAGATACCTTTGGGAAAACTACCCCCCCCAAAAAAAAGCTGTGTTAAATAGCAAGGCAGATAATAGGTTGGCAAGTCTAGAAGAAAAGACAACTCTGAATTCAAAATTACATGTAGCCCTTGTATATGGCTTATTCTTCAGCCATTGACAATGACATAGTCAACATTGACTCTATATTCTCAATTGTGGTTGATTTACAACTGTTAATGTATTATCATTATGTCAATGTCGCACATTGACGTGTGTCAACAAAAGTACTCACAATTCAAGAACTTTTATTTTCAGTAATGCATACAGCACAGATTGTTCCAACATTTCGAACATGGAGATGAGCATGAAATTTTTTTAATCATTTGACCCCAAGGAAGGCAATAAAACCACTAGGATGCAAGGGGTTACTGAGTGTTAGAGAATGAGAAAACTATCACTATTAAAGAGAGAGAACATTTAAAAGAACAGGAATTAAGAAAGCTGAACATTGCAAATTCTTTGGTTTAACAAAGAAAGGAATTTCTAATATCTCCACATCCAAGATTTTGGAGCAGTCTTGCTTCATGTGTTGCTGAAAATTGAATAATTTATTTTAAGTGTTGGTGTTAATTTTGCTTACGACTGTTTCTGTACACTTATGATGTTAATGGGTTAGGAGACTTGTTATTGCAGGTAAAATTGTTATCTCTTGTTGAATGGTTTCATTTTTTTTTTTTTTTATCAGGTTTTAAACGTAATTTTGAACATTATCAAGTTGTCTTATGTTCGTTCATTCATCTGTTTTCCATTCGTTCATTTGTTTTGTTAAGAATTTTATTCTTTCTGATCTGAAATTTTACCTGAGAAAGGTTCTGATATTTTGTCTTCAGAAGATCTCTTTCATTTTGTAGTAGATTTAAATCATTAATTGGATCAAAGAGAATGGATAATATATATCATCAAATAAATAGGTTTGTGGTTATTTTGTTGTTTTGCCCAAAATATGTTTTTAAGCTGAAATTCAATAGAATTCATTATCAATGCAATAATGAATGTCCATATTTCAAGTATTTTCTGTTTTAATCTGCACATCTGACCCTTTTTTGTGTCAGATCTGGAATCTTGGTGATTTAAATATAATTTTGGGTCACTGAGATTGCTTCAGAAGAGTGTAATCATCCAGTAAATAATAAAGAAGAATGGTGTCAAAAGCTATGCAAAAGCCCAACGAGAAAACCCTAACTGATTAATTTCTAATTTAAGACAAACTTTCACTTCATTATCAGATAGGTACCTCTATGAGATTGCTAAAAAAGAGCATAGCATGATGAAAAAGATGCCAAACTTGACAAAAACAAAATTTTATCGTCTAAATGTTCATGTTATTATTAAGAGGAAAGATCAAAGTATTTTTTGGGTATTTTTTTTTTTTTATATTTTTAATTCGTTCCGGGCACGTCTGAAATTTTCGTTAAAAATCTTGTTTTTTTTTTTTGAGTCAGCAAAATTGACAGATAATCAATCATGGCGTCCATTTTTTTCCATTTTATAAAAAAAGATGAAAATCTCACTTTGAAATTCTTTTAAAAATCAATTATCATTTTTTCAAAACTTATTTTAAGAAAATCAGAAATTATGTTTATTTAAAATATTTTGAACCAAGGTTGACTTAGTTTCTGCGCCGAAAAGAGAAAATAAAACCAAGCAGGTAACCTTTTGACAGGTGTTGAATGACTTATTGACGGATTACGTGATCATAATTTGTTCTACGGAAGGCAAAAAGTGAAGTTATTTAGATTTAAGTGAAGAAATTATTTACCTTGTTATTTTTCAGGAAAACTTTCAGCACTCGAATTTTTTTTTTTTTTGTACTTCGCTTTCACCTTTACATTTACAATGCTTTATGGAAAATATATCATAAAGAAATTAAAATAAAGACTGTTTAGAGTGAGATTAAAGTTCATATTTAAAAAGAAAGGTATCTAATTAATTTATAGGTACCTTTCTTATGAAATTTTTTCAGAAGTGTACATAAAATACTATAATAGTTACTACATTTTACTGTGTTATTTGTATTTCCATTCATTTTATTTATTTTGATATTTCATTTATGGAAAAATGTCATAACTGAGATTAATATAAAAATAGTATCATATAAATTTCATAAGATGATACTGATACTTCTAGGTACCCTTCTCAGTTGAAATTGAAAAATCAAATTAACTTCTCCACACGTGTTTTGCAAAAGTAAAGGCCTTAACAGTGGAGAACAATGCTTAACTCAAATAACGCAACTTAATTGTATTCTGGTTGGTCTTCCGTACTTTATAATTACAACCCGGTTATAAGCACAAAATTACATTTCTTAATTACTGCGGATCTTCTGATTAGTGAAAGTGATACAATTTACAATGCACTAAAAAAAAGATCTATCTCATAAGGACACTTAGGAAACCCGATGTGGTTTTTAACTAATTTTATAATATTTTAACAACTTGAATGTAAAAATCTATTATAATTAGAGAAATAACAAATAATTGTATTAAAAATTCATTTTTCATCAAAAAAATTTTTTGCTTTCAGAAAATATTGTCCATATTCATAAAAACAACTAAGAGCAAATAAAAGCATTTGAAATTAAATGATATCTTTGTTTTATTGAATTTTGTATGTTACAATTCAGAGCTGATTTTCAGCTGTTGGGGGGATCCAATTAAAAACAAAAAAAAAC